TCAACCTCTCAACGTTTCTAGGGAGAACGGTGCCACTTGGTCTTGGAGAGCTTCTCTCTCTTTGACTAGGCTAGCTAGGGTCCTTGATTAGCTCTGCCCCGACTGTGAGTCGGGAGGGTGTGCTAAGTTCGATGGCCATCCTCTTGCCAATGTGGCGGGGACGTCATTACCCTAGTGCCTGTCAAGGGCTTGTTCTGACCTCGATCGACTGTGGTCGGTCGGGTCTTTTGTGAGTTTACTGTCATGTCACGACCGTCGATCAGCGCAGAGTTCGGCCATTGGAGTTCGACTGGGTTGTATGCGGACATTTGGTATTTGTGCTTGAAGAATTTTTTTTGTTTATTGAATTTGTACGGCCTGGTTGTCTTTAGTGCTTGGCACCGGTTTCCATTGATACATTTTAGTCCTGGCACTATAGCTCCTTGGAGTAGATCTCCCGCACCTAGTTTCCCCTTTTAAGGGTCATCCCGCCTGAGATGATGACGATGACCCTAACCGGGGGAGCTCGGGCTAGGGGCTCGTCAGTGCAGTGCAGTTCTTCCTTGGGTTTATGCTCTTTAATATCGATGAACCAATGGAGGTATTTGCATCGGACGAGGTCTTCCAAGTGGTTGCAATATTCAATGTCGTGGCCATGGTCTTGGTGGAAGTCACAAAACTTGTATTGATTTCTCTTGTTGCCCTAGATTTTCATCTTCTCGGGCCACTTAATGAAGTTGCGGTCACGGATTGGCATTAGTATGTTGGCCCACAAAGCATTGAGCAGAGTGAAGTTGTGATACTTCAGCGATGGGGTCCTCGGTCTGCTATCATGTCGGCAGTCTAGCCTCTTGGCATCTTGGTTTGGTCTTCAGCTGTCGTGGTCTCTGCACTTTTGTCATGCTGGTCTTCATCCTCCCTGCGCAGTGTTTGGGCCTCTTCGGCATTCATATACTTCTGTGTGTGCTTCGTGAGTGCGGTTAGGTTGGGCGGAGGGTTCTTTTGCAAAGAGAAGCTGAACATTGAGGAGCGCAGCCTACTCATGATGGTGGTCACGACCACTAACTGGTCTAGAGTTCGGACTTGAAGGGCCTCGGCGTTGAACCTCGCCAAGTATTCCCTCAAGGTCTCTCATTTCCTTTGTTGTACTTGCATGAGGCTGGCCGACATTTTCCAGTGCCTTTTGTTGGTGGTGAATTACGCCAGGAACTGCAACTCTAGCTGATCCTAGGAGGATATGGATCGTGAAGGAAGGGAGGCGTACCGGCCGCTTTCTCAGTTCTCTAATCTCGACGTCTTTGTCGGCCGAGATCGTGTTCACGGACTTCTCCACTTTTGGGATTGCAGGTCGGTCTCGAACCAAGTTGGATTCTACTACTGAGGTCAACGACCACTGCAGACATTGGATGGGTTGTTCTTTCGCCGGCACTCGAGCAGAGTGATGGGATCTACTGCGGGCGTTATGCGCATGAGGCCGAGCTGGGGAGTCAGGTTTTCTGGGTAGTTGTGGTTGCTTGCGGTCGGATTGGGCCCTGTGAGACCTGCATGGCGCCTTTTGTGTCCTCGGTGCGAGGGTCAGCTATAGTAGGTGCTTGAGTGGCAGGGCAAGTAACTTCGATGGCATGTGCTGGTTGCCCCAGCGTCTTCATCATGGCCAAGATACGGTCGACCTTCTATTGCATGGCGAGGAATTGTGTGGGGTCGGCCATTGTTTGATGCTGTGGCTCTTGGTGCGGAGAGTTGTGAAGTGAGAGGGACCCCCGAGATGGGGAACGGAAAGGGGTTTGGGAAATGACTATTTGTACATTTCCCACAAACGACGCCAATCTGATGATGTCTGATTCGAGGTATTCCGAACCGAGGACACAATCAAATAATCCTACCAACTGGACGAGGCCGAGGTGGAAGGACGAAGCCGTGCACTGAGATCTGCAACCAGGAGAAAAGGTTAGAGGCCCAAGGAGTTATTCCCTAGGTAGGTACTCTGACGCTCAAGTCAGTTGGGTAGAGAAAGATGTGGCCGGGTTGAGTAGGTTGAAATAATGCTGATCCGGGCTGAAGAGATAGTGCAGATAAGTATTCAAAGAGTATTCTTCCAGAAGTCCCTTACCTTGAACAAGGAATACCTATTTATAGTTGGGTGTCGATGTCCTAGATGGATAGGGCTCTCGGGGTTGTCGAGATGAGGTCGTCCGCTATGGTCTTCGGGCGATTTCCTCTTCCTCAGTAGAATTCGTTTTCTTATCGTACATGACACTCCTTCTTAGTCATGCTTTTCCATTATGCATAATATCGATGTGACCAGAAAAGAAGGCAGCCACGAAGATTGCCACGTTGCTTCCTTAACCAGCTCAACCATCACCCGAACACATACCCCCATTGTAGAATCTTAAAATGATAAAGTTGAACTAAACTCATGAAGTTAAAAAAAAAAAAAATGAATTAGACTCTATAAACTCGACCATCACCCGAACACATACCTCCATTGTAGAATCTTAAAATGATCAAGTCGAACTTAAGCTCATGAAGTAAAAAAAAAAATAATAATAAAAAGTTGAATTAGACTCTACAAATTCAGCTTTAGTCTAAATGGATTTGTCAGTCCACTCAATGTCGAGTTAGTTGTAAGGCATCAATTGTATTGGGAGTTGTGAGTTCAAACAGCAGAAAGACACGTTGTGTGCTTAGTAGGCCCCACGTGCACCCTATCCTTAACCCACTAACCCCGGATTAGGCCTAGTGTCTGACACTTGCCCCTATAGAAACTAAAGCCACATCACCAATACTTAAAAAAAAAAGAAAAATCAAAACTGAACAAATGCTCAACTCAATCCAAGTTGCACTATCTGATGATAAGTTCTGTTGTTAGTATATATACAGTGATATATATTCTTCTAGGAGACACCACTTGACCACCTATTTTACCTTTATGGATTTTGATGGGGACCTAAACAGAAAACATGTTCGTTTTGTCTTCAGTTTGGGTATGGAAAGAATCCTACAAATTAAATATTTATATTGACCATGTTTACTGAATTTATTCATCTCGACACTATGGTTGTTGGTTGAGTCTTGAATGTTTATTTTTATCCATAAAATTGGTCATATCTGTAATAAAAACTAGAAAAAAAAAGAAAAGTTTTAGTAATTTGATTAATAGGGTTATCAACTGGTATCATAAAAATGATAGTCTGATTATTTATTAAAATTTCAAGAGGGTACTGGGGTTGTTTGATTGATCAAGGCTATTCCGATACCATGTTTTTCCAGTATCATAAATTTTTCTTAATTAATATTATCAAAATATAAAATGGTTCATGCAAAAATTGAATTTACATTGCAAGCCCCCAATAAAATACAAAAATAAATTCCTTTTTTTTTAATTTCCATTGCTGGTGTGTCCATGTTTTGTTCTGTATCGATCATTACCACAAAATGCACCTTGAATTGTATATAATTAGGAATAGCAACAGGGAACGGGGCAGGGATTATATTCCCCATGCCTACTCTTGATTATGAAATTAACTCCCACTCCCATCCCTGATCCCTATTAGGGATAAAATTTGTCCTCCACTTCTGATCCCCGACGGGGATGGGTTCTCGTGGGGACCTGAATCCCCGAAATTTTTTAGATAATAGTATTTTTTTTTGAAAAATAAATTTACTTAAAAATAAATAAAAATTTTAAATTATAAATAATGTTTTAAATATATTTTGATACCCCGACCCCATCGGGTTGGGGAAGTCGGATCCCCATTAGGGATGGGGAAAATTGCCATCCCTTGCACCCATTAAGAAGTACAAGTGCAACATTTTCAGCTAAAGGTGCATTTCACAGTATTAATACTACCAAAAGCTCTTATACAATCATATATTTATTTTTAGTGCAACATTTTCAGCTTGAGGTGCATTTCATGGTATTGGTAAATAATATAAACCTAGGGGGGCATTTGATAAGAGTTGCATATGCTGAAAAACTTATTGTTTTGTCTTTTGGTAAATGAGATTTTAAGAAGGTTGTAAGCTCCTTAATGGCTGAAACTGAAGTTGAGGCAGACCAATACATTCTTAAAAATTTGGGTAAATTACATATTACTACCCTATATTTTGGAGTAGTGACACTTAGCCCCCCTTAACTCTCATGAACTTTCAGATTCCAACACTTTGCCTCCTCTGTTAGCAGTCCATCAGTTGGCTTTGATAAAGGATTCACATTTGACTGTCATGTGCTTATTAAACATTTCTAAATGCTCAAACTATCCTTTTTCTTTATTTATTGCGCCATTTTGCCTTTTCTTTTACATGTTTGATCTCTTTGTGTATGTTTCGTTCTTCTTTTCTCTCACGGACAAATGAGCAAAACACACATCAGTTTAGTCATCAACACATTGTGGATGAAGGTATGGGTGTCAATAGACCGATTTTGGATTAGACCCATACAGTCCAAAATTAATTTGGATGGATTGGACGGACCAGCAAGACATATTAGATTGGATCAATTCGGTTCAAAATATTTATTAGATTGAATTGGACCTGGTCCATCCATAATAAATTTATATTGGATTGAGTTGGATTTAGCTAATATCCGATCCATTGATATAAGACAAGAATATAGGTGTCAGTGGATCAGGTTTAAGTTGAAACCAACTTAAATCAAAACAAATTTGAACAGATTAGACAGTACAGGCATTGAATTAATCCGACCCAAAATGGTCCGAAATATTCATTGGATTGGATTGGACCTGGCCCATTTATAGTGGACTCACATTGGACCGAATTGAATTGGACCAAATCCAGTCCAATTGACACCCTTAGATGAAAGCGAAATCAGCTGCATTGCCCAACCCATTGAAATGAAATCCTTTTGCCATATGAATCTCAAAAGGGCAGTTTAGTAAATTAATATAATCTAAGTTAAAAGAAAGGGGACAAAGTGTTGAACTTGAAATCTAAAAAGAAAGTTCAAGGGGGTGGGGGGTTAATTTATCGGAAATGAAAATTTAGGGGGCTAAGTGTCACTACCCCAACATACAGGATGCAGGGTAGTATAATCTGTATTTTATGCTAAAAATTTTATTGTGTTTAATTATTTTTACAAGTTACAACTAAAACACAAAGCAACAAGTCTTTTTGTAGTAACTTCAGCCGTTGACAAACGGCCCCCTACTATCTATAACTAACTAGGTAGCAGTACTAACAAAAGCTCTTATACAGCAGAAAATTAAGTTCAATAGCCAAAAAGCAACAGATAATTCTTAAAGCTAGAGACTAGAGTTGCTTCTCAAAAATTCTACATAGAGCTGTGCTAAAGCCTAAAGCCAGATGGCTCCGGCACACTTGAGCTGGGTTTTGAGGGAACCATTGAGTTGGCGAGTCATGACCTCGTTAGCTCCACCAACTAGATTACCGCCAACGAAAACCGCTGGAACGGCTGGGTTACATCCCAGCAGCCTCAAGAGAGCTTTCTCTATCTCCTTCCCCTGAGGGTCCTCGTCGAGCTCGTACACAGCAGGATTGACCCCCAGGTCACAGAATAGAGTCTTGATGGTGTGACACATGCAGCAAGAGCTCTTACTGAAGATCACCACCGGCTTCTGTGACACCAACTTCATCACCTTCTCCATGCTTCTGACGCCAACAACAACAACAGCAGCAGCAACCCAGAGGAATAGAGACCAGAATATTGACAATGCAGGTTGTTGAAATCTCAGAAGAAACGATAGTCGAATTGTTGTTTAATGGTGCAATGGGCGGATGTTTGATTCTTGGAAGGAAATCTGATCAGAAGAGCAAGGCTAGAAGTAGTAGAAGCTGGTGATGATGATGAGAACAATGAGGAGTTGCTGTGATGAAGTTGAGCTGCCGTAAAACCTATATTTATACATATAGGGCCATGAGGTGCTGGGTCGCACTTCACCACTTCACTGTTTAAGCTAAAGCAGAGAGAGAGAGAGAGAGAGAGAGAGAGAGAGAGAGAGAGAGAGAGAATGTTCCATTAGATATTTGCTCCTGATCATTACCTGATAAGGACCCCTTTTTTGCTTCTCACCATACAGTCAAGGAATAACAAGTTGCAGCTTGAAAAATTCCCATGTGAGAAAATGGGGGAAATGCCCAATTGCAATTTAATTATGGTTGACTGGTTCTACTGTTTAGAATGACAAAAATGCCCTTGTTTTAGTTAAGCTAGAAATCTAAAAATTTATCATGTAGCTAAGGAAATCTGATGTCAATTTTTTGGGGATTTTTGCAGTGACTGTATTGGAGCATCTACTAATTTGACAGGAGGTTGGGTCCATTCTTTCACTATCAAGATTTGCATGAAAAGAAAAGTAGAAGCTTGGATTTTATCTTATTTGATTCCTTGATGGGGAATGCTGCTAGCTACAGATAACCCATTGTTTTCAAATGCTACAACCCAAATTAATCCACTCTTCACAACTCATCTACTTGATTTCAATCACCATCCACATGAGTCGAGTATATATGTATGTAGAATGGCTTATATAATCAACTTGAAGTCAATAAGATAATACTCATGCAGAGAAAATAAAGCAAATTAAAATTAAGAACTTGATAACAAGGCCTTTCAATAGGGGTGGATACGAGTTCGACTTGTGAAAATCTCGATTCGATTTGGTTCAAATTGAGTTTGGAGCTGAGCTCGAATCCAAACTGGTGTTTATTTACCCTTGTTTCCATGTAGATGGTTTGATTTTAATGTGTATATATCAAAATCAAATTTGGTTGCATAGATTTAACTTCAAATGTTGGTATCGGTTTTTGATTTGTTGCCCTCGTAGCTGTGTAAAATGGGTTACTAATCAATAATCAATTATGAGTGAACATGTCAATGCCCCATGCACTAGCACAGATCTGACTACCTTATTTTTTTTTTTAATTTTCACTGTTATAATTATGGTTTTTGAACCGCTGTTGACTCGGATGGTTAGATCGTTTGACCTGGGAATTGTTCAAGCAACCGGTTCCATTTTACCCCAAACCTGATTTTTGACTAAAAACCATTGAATCGGGCAGTCAAATTGTCGACCCATTCAACCTTTGTCAGAATAGGCCCTCCATTCAGACTAGACAGTTGAACCTTCGACCCAGAAACCGGTGGCCAGAACAGTTCCTCTTCCGGGTTGCTTTTTAAAACATTGGTTATAATTCAGGTACAAATATTGAGACTTACTTAGCACCTCAGTGGTCAGTACCAAATAGGGGTGCTCATGGTTCGGTGGGCCTATTTTTGAAACAAACAGTAACTGAAATTGAATCGAAGTCGATCAGTTAACCAGTTGACTAGTTTGGTTCATCGCTTTTTTTCATTTTTTTATATTTATAATATATTATAAAAACATATAAATATATAATAAAAATAGAAATATATATAAAATATTATATTTTAAATAATAAGTAATAAGTAATATATTATATATTTATATATAATGCATATTTATTAATTTATAATATATAGAAAATATAAAATATATATAATATGCATAAATATATAGAAATATATGTATACTGGTCGGTTTGGTTAACTATGGATTTTCTATATTGGTTAATCGAAACCGAACTGATACCTTCATTTTTTTTATAAATACCAAACCAAACAGTTCGGCTAACCAGATTTTCGATTCAGTTTCAATCGATTTTTTTGATTTTTCTTATTAACCCCTAATACCAAACGCGTACCCAATCATAAATCCAGATTAATTTGCTTCTCACAGAGTGCGCCTCACAGCGCTTTTGGCTGCGCATTGAGAACATCTCTCGTACTTTGGAAAGATATTCCCAATATAGGGCTGCGATGTGGTGTGAGTAGCAAATTGATGTGAATTCCCCGATCGAGCAATCACCAATTCACCATTATGTGAATAAGATTTATGAATGATGATTCTCGTCCTAGCTAGTTATTCTCTCTAAAGTAAGTGGAAGTGGGTTCCAGTCTTCTCCATGAAAAATATGGCAAGGAAAAAGGCAGCAGTAGACGTCACCATGGTGATGAATGGCAATCTGAACATCCTTTCAATTTCAAGGAGCAGCAACTATGAGCTAGCTAGGCTGAGCTAGCTATTTCCTTTTCACAGAAAGGTGATTCCATGAGCTATGTTTCTGGCAGACCCTCAGACAAAAAGGGGAAAAAGGAATTATTATATCCTGGGACGGTGATCGTCATTCTGTAAGAGGCTGAGAGCTGATTCACGTGAACTGGGTCTGAAAGCAAATAAGAAGCTTCACCAATGCGCATTCTCTCATCTTGTGGTTCTGGTGATTTCATATATAGGAGCCTGGTGCATGCCACCATGTCTCACCGTGCAGAATCTCAACTCCCCTTTCTTTTCTTTGCCTTTTTGTAAATGAAGCACTTATACGTTTACAGACATGTCCTTACTTTATATAAAGCTAATTACCACCTTGGAGTTTTTATCATATATAAAACTAGGGTTGGTTTTGGTTTTGGTTTGAATTGGAACAACCCGATCTAATCTGGTCCGACTTGCACCCTTGGTTTATCATGGAATGAGGATTGGAGATATATATGTTGGTTTGAATGGTTCAATTGTTCGATTCGAACGGATGGCCCATTCTAACTTTAAAAAATAAAATAAATAAATATGGCAGAAAACTGTTGTTCGGGTTGATGGTTCGACCATCTGAGTCAGCGATTCATTGATCAAATCAATGATTTTTGGCCACAAAGCAGTTTTAGGGTGCAGCAGAGTTCCTAGTTTTTTGATCTGATCTAATCCATGGAAAACGAAGAAGAAAACAATTAGGGGAGCCCTTTTCAGCCCATCCTAGAAATTTCAGGCTTGGGCCCAGGTTTTGTGTTCGGGCCCAACTCATAATTATACACTAGCGTGCCCCTGCGCTATGCATAGAATTGGACTTAAAACTTATTGTTCTATGGAGCTATACAACCCGAGGGTAGAGATGGCAATTTTCTCCATCCCCTCCAAGTACCCAGCCTCCCCGATTAGGCAGGGATGGGATGGAGATTTGCCTTAGCAAGGATAGGGTGGGGATGGAACTAATAGGAATACTTGATTGGGGATGGAGAGTAAAATCCACACCCTGCCCCGACCCCGATTATATATATATATGTGTGTGTGTGTGTGTGTGTGTGTGTATTATATTAAATCTATAATATTATTTATGTTATTTTATAATATTTTTTATATTATATATCAAATTCAGGAATTCAAGTCCCCAATGGGGAAGTCATCTCTATCAAGGATCGGGGATGTAGGCTAAAATTTTTGGTAGGGATTAATTTAAAACTCGAGGTCGGGATGGGGAGTATCATCTCCACCCTGAACCCGCCCATTGCCATTCCTACCTTGGGAGTCATCCCCTAAACCTATAACACCCCCAAACCTATAAATATAGTTTCACTATTATGGTAATTATAAATGTAGTACACAATACTTATAGAAATTATTAAAATTTTCCAATTATTTATTTGAAAAATTCGAAGTTTTATAGTTTAAGTTTCACTAAATTAACAAAACCACTAATTATTGCTAAAAATTATAGTGAATATCAAAATTACTGAAAATTTTAATTATTGTTTGATAATATCATTAAATATTAATAATTGACCAAAATTGAAAATATCAATAACTACTTATTGCTAAAAATTATTGATAATTTTTAATTATTAAATGTGTATTTATTAATATTTTAATTAAGTATTAATTTTTAGTAATTGTTGATTTCAATAATTAATTTTCAAAAAATTCTGAAATTAAATTACCAAAATCATTAATTTTCAACAAGTAATTCTTAGTAATTAGATTTTTCAATTTACCAAAATTATGAAAAATTATAGTTTTGGTGTTGATATTTACTAAATAATATTCAATAGTATCACTAATTATTGAAAATATAAAAAATATTTCACAAATTTAATTTAACTACCCAAATTAATTTACCCACGTTTTTGGTTTTTAGATGGTAGAGAAAGAGAGAGAGAGAGAGAGAGAGTTGGAGTGGAACTCTAGTGAAGAAGAGAGGGCTGCCACGTGGCAATATAGATTAAGAGGTGTTTTAGGAAGAACTAGCGGGGACCCGTGTGATCCACGGTTTTCATGAAACGAAAGTTAAACAATAGAAATACATAGGACTATATAATTGTGTAATTACCATGGACTGTAGTCGGTTGGTTCGGTCTCCGAAGGTCCGGAGAGAATGGCAGTGGAGAGATAAGAAGATGGAGAAGAATCATTAAAAAGAATAGTGGTGAGGAGAGGAGAAGGAGAGAGAAAGATGTTCTAAGAAACCCTAGGATTAGGGTTCTAGGGTTGTCTCATTTGGGAGGAGGGTTGTCCCTTCTTTTATAGATGGGCTCTTGAGGCTATTAGGAGAAGATCCCAAAAGAGACCGTTCTTTATTAGGAAAGGGGATCTTTATCCTCATGTGATCTATCAAGCAAATTCCATTATAGTTTCACCACGTGTCTGGCGAGACTTTCTAGGGGGGGGTAGAGTTTCCTTTCCCTAAAGATTCTCGCATAGCATGTGTTGGCTACACCCCTTCATGGGTTCTCTTGTAGCCACATGTCGAGACTTTCGATCGGATAATTTGTTCCAATGTCTCTGCAAGTCATCTTTGGGATGCTTCGTCACGACAAGCTATAATCGTATGGAATGCGAGTCACCTATGAATATATATTGCTGGCTTTGGCTTTATTTGTCGTTTATCACGACATGAACTACTATTTTATGCTCATCGCAGGGTACTGGTAGTGTATTAGGTCCATCGCAGGTTTGCGATGTCATTTTATGCTCATCGTAGGTTTGGGATAGTACGCTAAGCTCATTGTGGGTC